GTGTAGATGGATGAAATTTAGGGAACTGGGTGGGGTATTGTGTGGAAAGAAATGGTCAGTGAAGATGAAAGGGAGGGTATATAAAGCATGTGTGAGAGCAGCGATGGTATATGGTGGTGAAACTTGGGTGTTAAGGAGAGAGAAGGAAAGTGTACTGCAGAGGGCTGAAAGAGCTATGGTGAGGATGATGTGTGGGGTTAGTGAAGGATAGGAGGAGTAGTACAGAGCTGATGTCAATGATGGGACTGAATGAGGACATTGTGACATTGATAAGGAGATCGAGATTGCGGTGGTATGGACATGTGTTGAGAAGGGATGAAAGGGTCGGGATTAGGCGAGCGTTGGAGTTCGAGGTTGAAGGAGTGGTAGGAAGGGGTCGTCCGCGATTGGGATGGAGAGAGCAGGTGGAGAAGGACAGGGTGAAAGCGGGGTTGCGTGATACTGAGGCGAGTGACAGATGTGAATGGCGTCGAGGGGTATTTCGGTTTCATCATAGGTAGTCAAACGGCAACCCCCGATCTCGGGGAAAATGTCGTCTAAACGTGTTGTTGTTGTTGTTGCAGTTAAAGTTATCAATTCAGAAGTTGAGATGGGGTGAAAATCAATAGAATCAGATAGAGAGCGGCTTATGAATGAAATCGGATTAGTTGAAACAGCAGGAAAAGTAGAAAGAAGTTGGAGAAGGTGGAGAAGGACAGGGTGAAAGCGGGATTGCGTGATACTGAGGCGAGTGACAAATGTGGATGGCGTCGAGGGGTATTTAGGTTTCATCATAGGTAGCCAAACGGTAACCCCCAATCTCGGGGAAAATGTCGTCTAAATGTCGTGTGTTGTTGTTGTACACTGGTTGACAATTAACAAAAGGATAGTCTTTAAAATTGCAGTTCTCATGTTCAAGTATATAAATGACATGTCATCTGAATACATGAAAAATAAATTTACCAAAAAACAAACAGCACCATCTTCCCATCTCAGGTCGGATAATTTGAATCTGCTAAGGGTGCCAGTCACGCGTTTGCAAATTGGTTCTAGGGGCATTGCCGTGGCTGGTCCCTCTGTTTGGAATAACCTCCCACCTATGTTAAGAAGATCGGAATTTTCTCTTTATTTAAAAAAGAACTAAAGACATTTGTAAAATTTGTTACTTTGATTTTCTTTTCATGAACAGTCACATATAACATTTTGTTTTGTTTTTGAGAGAACGCTTATGAAATTGTTTAACTAGCGCTTATTAAATGTTTCTTAATAATAATATATATGTAAGCAGTTTACAAATGTCTAATTGATTCTTTACAATTTACGATGAAACGCTCCAAAGTTAGAAAATGTCAATAACTTTCTTACAATTTAAATTAAAATTTAAGCGTGAAGTATAACGACACCATTTACAACAAGACATTAGGGAAAACAACCGAATGTTTTTGTCTGTTCTTTTAGCTGGAAAATTTAAACTAACATTACGTGTTATGCCAAAGGGGTATTGTGCAGATGAAAACAAAGCCTGGTCTATTTTTTCAAATTAGCATGGGTTTTAATCGCTAAAATAATTGAAAGCAAAAGAGAAAATATCCCGGAGTATAAAGTATGATCTCAAATGAACATTATGATACTGTTGTAAATTGATTATTCTGTCTGATTTAAAAGACGACACTTAAATAGTTCATGTTTGACAAAAAGAACTATTCTAAATCCAACAAACTAATCAGTTAATAAAATCATTTCCTCTCCGATAGAAAAATTATAGACAGAATGTATGAAATGCAGTAGGAACCTACTTAAAACAAACTTCTATACAACTACAATCTCTATGTATTGAATTTAGTATGCTCCTTGGAATTTTACATATAAAACTGTTTTTATAGAACGAAAATAATTTCTCTATGAAAGAAATAGGCAAGCATATAAACACCTTTTAAGCAATATAGAATTTCTACCCAAACAAATTCTATTTAAGGAAATTTTTATATAGTCAATTTTTTTCCTGAAACCGTAAAGTTTGCTGTACGGAGGTTCGACTGTTAAAGTCTATGAATGGAAACAGTTAACAGAAGACACTGTACACTATCCTGTTGAGTTTCTTCATATCATAGAGCCAACCTCCCCAGCCTACCACAACATTCTGATTGGTATGTCATTAATGTTGCTGCATAATTTAATAATTCTAAATTATATAATGGCACCAGATTCCAAGTAAAAGCTCAAAATATAATCGAAAGTGACCATTCATTTTTTGCAAAAACTTATGAAAACAAATATTATTATATCATCATTTCAATAATTTTTTTGAATCATCAGAAAAGCCCTTTGGACATGTGCATTTAAAATTTATGAAGACAAATATTAATATATCATCATTTCAATAATTTTTTTGATTCATCAGAATAGCACTTTAGATCTGTGCATTTAAAATTTCCTGTTAGTCTGCTTTGTGATGATTATTAATAAAACCCACAAGAAATGTTTGAAATGACCGTTATCCCATTGTTAGTTTTACAAAGCGCGTTCAAGAGTAAGTTCACCATATTATTCCAACATCTTTCAACCAAAGAAATAACCAAAATATATAACATTAGCATAGACTTGGGTAGGGAGGTTTTAAAGTCATAAATGTAATGAATCATTGAAAATTATTATATTCTGAACTTGAAAAAAAACAATAAATTGTGAATCAGTAAATTATTAATAACAAATTTGTGAAACAAAAATTTTTTTTTTTTATAGTGTTTGCCAATTCAATTTCTATCATTAATTCCATTATTATTGTTTATTTAAACTTGTATTCATTGTGTTTATTTGTATTCACACATGTTTTTGTGTGGAGATGAATGCCTCTTACTCTTGTTCTGTTGACTGTGTTTCTTGAATGTTTGCTTATTAAACATTGCGTAAAAATAGCATTATTTATATATCTTTCCTAATTTCATTGTATTATTAACATACTTTTCTTTTTCTTTTTTTGGCAAAGGGTTCACCCAAACATTTTTCAATAAACCATTCATTTTATTTCAATTGCATTATGGTTACCAAGCTGTGTATGTAATTATTGTCTTGTTCTGCAAAGTGGGTGAATTAACAGCTAGATGTATATTTTATAATTCAACAATTGCAACTGTTTTCATTTGTGAGCACGGAACATAATCATATTATATCGCTAATTTTGCACATTGTACATTAATTAGAGAAAATTTTAAATAATACTTCCCCTAATGCTATATTTAATTTTAACTGACAATAGGAGCTACATTCACTTTCGAATTAAAAGAAATTGGTAGGGGAAGTGATAATTAAATTTTGTTTATTGTTGTATGTTGATATGATAATAATACATGAAAAATTAAATTGAAATTTTTAATAATGATTAATGATAATTAAATTTTGTTTATTAATAGTGAGAATAATATTTAAAAAATTGAAATATTTAATAATGAAATGGTAAATTTTTATAGTAAATTTTGTAATGGCTGCTTAAACATTTTAGGAGTTTATTATTAAGAAGATGTGTTTGGAGCACAACCATGATGTTGGTGCATCTGTATTTGCACTATATGCAGATAACCGATGCCCTGCAGGAGCTGCTTTGGAGCAGGCTGAAAAAATGTTGGATGCTGGTGCAAATCCACCACACGTAACAAATGTCCTACATCAATCAAACTTTCCTGTAGCAAGAAAAGGTGTATATAATTTGAAGCATGGTTTTGTCGACAGTGCTGGTATAACAATCTTAGGTCTTTACGCAAATGTTTTGTCTTAACACATGAACAATGTACCTGTATGCATTACTGTGTAAATATGTGTGTTTGTCTGTGTGTGTTACTATATGACACTTTATGTAATAAATTTTTTATTTTTAAAATTGTCATTCTATAATAAAAATGCTTTATATGTCTTAATAAACGTCAAATTTTGCGATTTGACTGCATCCTGTATCGTCAATATAGCAGTCAACTTTGTTGTACAGACTTCGGCCATCACGAATTCATCGTGCGATTCTCACGCTTTTCACTGTCTAAACTTTGTATTCGCCCGCATGTAATTCGCACGCCTTATAGCACCTCATCGTCTATTTCACCGTGCGACCTCACGCTTTGTAGCATTAACACGTTCAATTCGCCATGCAGATTTCTCACGCCTTATAGCATCTCACGGCGTGTTCGCCGTGAAAATTCGCACGCCTTCTTATAGCATCTCACGGCGTGTTCGCCGTGCGAATCCGCAAGCCTTATAGCACTGACCATTATTTATTTATTTAATATTAATTTTAACTTAAAATTAATATTAAATAATTAATTTATTTTATAAACACTAACATTCTGTCCGATTTTTTTATAACAATGTACATCAATCCGATGAAATGCTTCACGTCGGCATACAGGTCTAAGCCATCCATCTTCGATTTTTAACTTAACCTCTTTTTTATTTCGAAATTAAAATAATCACCATAAAAACAAAACCGCAGATGCAAAAAACATTGACGAAAAAATATTGAATGCCCAAATAGTTTTTAGCAGCGTCGGATTAAGCGTCAAGAATCGGAATTTTTTGTGGAGAATGTAAAATATTAACTCTGAAAAAACTTTTTTTAAATATTTTTTTCAGATAATATTTTTTAGGAAATAAATATGTGTAGCAATATACAATGATTCTTTTAACTGAAAATAAATGCTAATAATGTGAAAAAAAAATCATATTTTTTTGTATGTTCTAATTAAAATATAAAAATGAAGTAAGTTTACTGAGAAAAACAATTATATTGACTAATTTTAAATGTTTTTTAAAATATTTTTAATTTAGATTTAGTGGTGTTAATAATGTTAAGTTATGGGCTTCATCTAAAATTCTTGAAGGAAGTCAGAATGGAAATAAGTCAGGCTCTGACAACCATATATAACAATTTTTTTTCATCTAGAAAAATACAATCCCACTGAAAGAATGCATTAGTAGTAGCTTTTTACAAAAAAGAGATTGAAGGGAACCGTGCAATTACAGACCAGTCAGCTTAACAAATATTGTATGTAAAATACTAGAGAAAATAATCAAAAGCTAGATCATAGAACACTCATCATTGGTAAGAGTCAACACGGTTTTGTAAAAAAAAATTATGCCTAACAAATCTGCTTGAGTTTTTTGAAAAGATTTATGCCAACTTGGATAAGGGTAAAGCCGAATTTAGACTTTGCCAAACTCTGTGCTGTGGTGGACACCAAACTCTCTGCAGTAGTGGATAAAAATGAAAATGTAAAGAAGACTGTGAACTGATCTAAAAAAAAACTTTACCAATGGGCGGAAGACTGGCATATGAAATTTAACATAGATAAATCCTCCGTCATTCACATGAAGACAAAAAACAAGCAAAATATATTAGAATTTGGAAAAAGACCTCTAAAGGTTTTATCGGAAGAAAGGTACCTTGAAATAATAGTAGACAAAAGCGGCGAACCTACTAGGCAATGCATTAAATCAGCTAAAAATTAAAAACTACGCTTGGCATATTAAAAAAACAATTGTTAACAGAGATAAATCAATAATGTTAAAACGTTAGTGCGAGGTGCGACCTAAATTAGAATACGGCATACAGGCATGAAGTCCTCACTGGCAAAAACCAAAAAGACAAAAAAGTTTTGGAAAAAATTCAAAGACGGGCAACCAAGATGGATAACAGTTGTGGAAAGATTTCATATTGGGGAAGGATTGAAAGGTGGTGACTGACCAACTTGGACAAAACGTAGGATTAGAGGAGATCTTATTCAGGCGTACAAAATCAATACGGGTAAAGATGAGATAGATTCATCTCTATTCTTCCAATTTACAGGAAATAGAAACACAAGAGGGCACCAGTACAAGCTTTTCAAAGAAAGGAAAGAAGCAAAAAAAGAAAAATTTTTCAGTTCGAGGGTTATTGAACACTATACTTTAAAAAGCACTTAAAATCAGTCAGTGTAATTGTTTTTGCTAGTAAAATTTCTTTATTTTTATGTTTTAAATCATACTGAAAAATTGTGATTTTATTCACATTTTCAGCATTAATTTCTATTATTAAGAGTGATTGCGTCTTGCTACACATATTTAGCTTCTAAAAATCATGATATCCAAAAAAATACAAAGAAATTTTTTTTGTAAATAATGTATTCCGGAGTTGGATGCAAAATCTAAGTCCGACTCAGGGTCGGTAGAGTCGGACTGGCTTACAAAACCGTATATATATTGTCACGGTTCAAGGGTAGATGTTGAGCGCCGCATCATCTAATTATATTATTGCTGCGGGGTAGGACGGCGCGTCGTGTAAAAAAGGCCGGTCTCGTCAGACAGAAAGAAAGTTTATTTTTATTGTAGAAAATTAGTTGGTAGAGTTGGTTAATTTTATTGTAGAAAATTAGTTGGTAGAGTTGGTTAATTTCATTGTAGAAAATTAGTTGGTAGAGTTGGTTAATTTTATTGTAGAAAATTGGTTGGTAGAGTTGGTTAATTTTATTGTAGAAAATTGGTTGGTAGAGTTAGTTATTTTTATTGTAGAAAATTAGTTGGTCAAGTTGGTTAATTTCATTGTAGAAAATTGGTTGGTAGAGTTGGCGTTTTTGTTGGTGAGAAATTGGACACGCAAACGTGGTTGGTGAAGTAGCTGTTGGTTGGTAAGGTATTATTGGGAGAAGTTTCATTTGTTGGTACGTGGGTGGTAGTTAGTCAGTGGTTAGAAGGGGGAGAGCTGGAAATACGGTACGGGGTTGTTACGAGCTCAACGACGACAAACGTAAGGTAGCGAACGAAGTAGTTATCTGTTGCGTTGGAGGGTGGCGAACGAAGTAGTTGCCTTTCAACGTAACAACAACGTTTGTCGGTTGGGTAAAGCACAGGTGGTACAATATTGGTACAGAAGACGGCTGGAACCGAAGGAGTCAACCCCACATAACACCAGTGTTCGAAGGATTCTACATTGTTGTCAAGTGAAGAAGTTGAAACAGTATCCGCTCGTACGTGGTCACAGCACTGGCAGGAACAAGTCTGCACACTAACCTCGAACTTTAACTTTTATTTTGGTTTTCTTTATTGACATTGTATATTTATTTGCTATAGTTTTCAGTTTACAGAATAAAATTTTTTTTGATTTGTATCTACGTCTCAACCTTGCCGCTAAGAACCCGCTACATATATTGTACCAAATAAAGAAATTTTACTAGCAAAAACAATTACACTGACTGATTTTAAGTGCTTTTTAAAGTAGTATTCTTATTTAGTAGTGATAATAAGGTGGAATTATGATGCAAAAAATAAAAATTTTTTTGGGAGTCGGAAGCAGGAGGATGGACGTCAAACACGACGATCTCAAATTAGCTCGCTTAAGAACACCAGATAAAAGATACTAAATATGCAAATGCATGAAATAAACCAATTAAAAAATGATTAAAATGAAAAAATCTTTAAAATCGAAAAAACATTATTAAACTATAAACATGTGAAAATTGTAAAATTTAATGAGTTTGATGATGATGTTTATAGAAACTAAAGAATGAGACCAGATTGCTACACCGTCTATTTGCTGATATGTTGTTATCCGGCCAACGAAAGGTGCTTCGGCTGTACATATTCTTAGCAGCGCAATTAATTCATCTTTTGAAATTGATAGTGATGAATGACTGGAATTGTATATTCTATCTATTATTATGCTGAATGCAAAGAGTAACTCCACATCCAAAGATGCTATTTGTTGTGGAGTCAATCTTTACAAATGTCCCTGTAGAGGAATATGTACAGCCGGAGCACCTTTCGTTGGAAGAGATCCAATGCTCAAGAGGTCAATTTCAATTTGTTTACTTTTAGCAGCACCATCACCATTAACATCACTAAAAACGCCTTTTTTGAAATTAACCCGTCCTAGTACCTCAAAAATCCACCAATGACAGCTCCATCACAATCCTAATTACCACAACCATTTCTATCATCACAACCATCAAAACCATTACCAGACATTATTTCTTCAGCTTTCTGAACTTGACAATACGCCCCATGCCTACCGTTCCCCTTACGCTGTATAAAAAATTCGAACATGAGGCCTAATTATTTTTCTTGTTTCATCAACGAATTTTTTAATTTGAGACGTTTTTCATCACCATTAAAATTGGTCTAATCTTCGATTCTGCCCTCTGTCCAAGTCTGAAAACTTTTTCGACATCATGATCTTTGAACATCAATTGATAACTGCTTTATAAGATCCTTGACTCTGTTAACATTATCTTCATTTTCAGGCAGATCGAACATAACGATATTATTCCCTCTCTTTTCATTTCATTCGCATCGTCTAAAGACTTTTTCACATATTTTACCCCATCACTAATTACATCAACATTCTTCTCAATTTCCTTCCCAACAATATCTGCCCAACTCCCGTTTAGACACCTTTCAGATTTTTAATCTGCCTAACTCAGTTAGGCAGTTGGTTAACCCAATTTGTTCAATCATTGCCTTTTATCAAATTCTTTGTTTGCTTCAGTTCATCTTTAAACGCCGCATTTGAATCATTTATCTCCTCAGTTTTTGCTTCGATTTTATCATGATTATCTTTAACGACATTAGCTAGCAATTTGATATTCAAACAGCATTTGCAGAACCACTTTAAATTCTCTGTATTCATAGCCACGTCGAATGAGGCGTTGCTTAATCCACAGCATTTAAAGTGATAAACATTGAAAACAATTTATTTCATCATTCTCATCAACAACCTTCGAACACTTAAAGCACTTGACAACCATAACCAATTAGGAGAAGGAACGAAAAAAAAATCAACTTAATAGAAACCTCTGCTGTGTTTGCATAAACAATTTTAAAGCTAAAATATAATGTTTCTAGATAGTTTGCAGTCTGCAAAAAACAAAACAATGTAAAACAAACAACTCAAGTTTTAAAAAAAAATACAACTTCAAAAATATATCTTCTACTGCTTACAATTTTAACTCTCTTAGCGCGTCGATTTAACACAAATTAAAAATTTAAATCCAGAAAAATTGAAAAATGAAACAAAACACTGGTATGCATTAAAACAAAATATTTTTAGATGTTTCAAATATTTTAATTTTTCTAACATAATTCGAACACGCTGATTTCAAATATGTACGTGAAATATTTCTATCCCGTCAGAATATTTCATAAATTCAATTTTAAAATTAACATTCTATCTTCACGATTATTTACAAATTGATTTGTTCAAAATAATAATTAGTCAATTTTTTTTACAAAAAACTAATAAAAAGTAAAGTACATAAAGCATAAAATTTCAAAATAAGAACAAAAACTTCTTTTTGATTTTCTTCCACATTCTTTAGCCAGCCGTCAAATTCTCCCTTTTCAGCATCAAACAATAGTCCGCCATCATGTTGACATTCCATGGTCCTTGATATTTAATTTCCATTGTTTTAATGTCTTGGTAAAACCTTTCACTCATTTTTTCACTATAATCGCCAAGACTTTCCGGAAAATAATCCAAATGAGAAAATGAAAAGTGAATTTTAAGGCTCATTCGACAACCTAATTTTTGGAATGCAGAAAACATTTCATTAACAATTACT